TCTCTCTCTCTCTCTCTCCTTCTCTCTCTCTCTCTCTCTCTCTCTCTCTCTCTCTCTCTATGTAAATTTTTATCTGTGTATCCCATTGTACATTGCTGTGTGCCTTGTTTGGATCTTTTTTATTGGGCTTCTTACTTATGGCAATTTGTGGCTTTCTTTTCTGGGTAGTCAAAAATACTGGTGTTTTTTTTCCGAGTTTTTGTGTATTTGGGTCTGTTAAAGATGGGTTTGATTGTGGAACATGATTAGACCAGACTTTAGAAAATTTGGGAAATTTTTGAAAGGTTGATGGATTATTAGGATTTGTCCTGTTTTATATTTCACTAAGCTTTGGCTAAGAGGAATTGTGCTGTTTTAGATGTTAACTGGTTGTATTATAGTTTTCCTCGTAAGAATAGCTATGCAGAATTCCTCTAGAGTCTAGATTCAGCGTTAGACATGTCGATTGAATATTCTCTTGATGGGTCATGTTATACATGGACAAATAATCAACAAGGGAAGCTGGTCATGTCTAGGAAGGATTGATAGATTGATTATTTACTAGTGGATAGGGATGAGGCTTGCCTAAAGCCGCCCTAGACCTTTTGTGAGGCACGTCATGTTGATTGGAGACTTTCACATCACAGATGGAGCTGTGGTAGTCCACTAGCTTCATTCACTCTAAGCATTGTTCAGGACTCCATGGACTCAGGTATAAGAATGGTTTAGAAAGAGCCTATGATCATGTTGATTGGGATACTTGGCAGTAGACTCTTAGGAGTATGGGCTTTGAGAATGCTGGATTCAGTGGTTCAGGCTTCTATGACTACGAAAAAATCCTCGGTGAGGATATACAGGATCTGGAGGCCTATTTAGGAGTTCATGAATAAAAATTCTCAGTGAGGATATACAGGATCTGGAGGCCTATTTAGAAGTTCTTGCTGTTTGGGACAATGGTGTCCTTTGTGTCTGCTTCTATTCACGATCATGGCGGAATCTCTGTGCATGCGTATTCTTGGTCTAGATTGAAGGCTTTCATATTTGTAGGTCGTAGAAATATTATGTGGGGTTTTGATTGAGGAGGGGTTGGATGTGGAACTTATGTTAAGGTGTTCCCTTCATGTTTTATAATCATGTGTCACCCTTCGTTATTTTTCTGAATGTACTTGTCTGATGATTTGTGTCTTATCTTTATCAACTGGTGGGGTCTGGGGACAATACTTGAACATGAAGCATCTATCGATGGTGCAAAGTGGCCTCATCAATCGCATGTCCCTGTGCACCATCATTATCATAGAACCTAAACTTGGGCATTGTCCCACTATTTCTGTGACTGAAAGCTGCAACATTTTCAACCAGGTATTCATATTTGTAAGATTTAAATTATGCTCTCTTCTTTGAGTTGTTTTGAGCTTTCTAGCTCTAGCCACACATTATGAGTTTTTCTGAAGCATTTCTTCCGACATTTTGTGGTCTTTTTGTGCGCCATCTGTTCACGCATTCATGATTTGGTTTCATCGTTGTGGCATCATGTTTACTCTAGCTTTGTGATGTCCAATGCTTCTGCCGTTTTCTATTTTTCTTAAATTTTCTTTCTTCATATTTTATTTTGGCATTTTATTCAAGGATAGGTGTTGTCTTGCATGGTGGTCTAATGCTTGAGGAGAGGTTGATTATCTCTATTGTCCTCTAGCTTTCGATATATGTTTCCGAAACCTATTGCTTCTTTTATCCCTAAAATGATACATGAATGGAAATAGTAATGTTTGCTTATGCATAGTTTGGCATGGAAGTATGGTTCATAGTTCGACAAAAAGTTGATGTATCTTCAAAACAATAGCTAAAACAGAAACCATAACCACGTTGAGAGAAGCTTTCTTAGTGCCTAAGGATGCCAGATTTGACATGGACTCTTGACTTCAGTCCGCAAGATGATGTGTTCTCCTTATTGGTGAAGTTTATGAATGTGCCGATGTTGCCACAGCTTGTGAGACTTTTTCCTTTGTAGAGATGAGAGAACCACATTAGAAGTTGAAAGTGCAGCGATTTTGCACGACTTCCTATTGAGAGCTACTTTGAGCAAGTCATTGGTGGGAGGACATTGGAGGTTCTTGTTTGGTTTGTGAAGAGGGATGTTCTTACCTAGCTTTTTGTTACTATTTTTCATGTTTGTTTTTGTGATAGTAGATGCCTTAATGGTTTCATGATATTAGATTCCGTATGTAGGTTCATTGAGGGATTGTGCTTCCAATGTTCAATGACCCCATATGCATTCGTAAAGCTTCAGGTAGAATGTCACTCTGATGTCTTGGATGATTTATTGGTTTTATGAGGAATAACTTTTGAGTCATGGAGGTGGTAGGACTGTAGGTGTAGTTTCTACCAACTAACTACTAGTTGGATATGATTTAATTATTCATTGAACCAATGATTCATTATTGGAGCAGATAGCAACAGATTTGTGATGATTCATTTGGCCTTTTAGGATTGGGAAACATAGATAATGGGTTTTTCCTCCTGAGATGGCATAATTGTAAGCAATATATTGTGGGAGGAGGGACCATTTGGCATACCTGGGAGTGGGAAGAAGATGAGAATTTGAATTTGTTCCCGACTGAGTGCAATAGTTAGATAACATGGTTGGGAAGGGGCATGAGTAATTATTGACTTGATGTTTGCGAAAAATAGAAGTTGTCATTTCTTTCAAAGATAGAAAATGCAAGTTAGATAAATCGGCTTGACAAGGACGGGCATGGCAATGGAGTGGTAGGATCTGGATTAAAAGACAATTTTTTTGCTTGAAGAAGCCATGTCCTGTTTTCTTTTCTTCTCTTTCTGTTTTTCACTTTTTTGTTGGAATAGTTTTCCTTCTATCCGTACATTCTGGATCTTAAGCTGTGAGAGAGGTGCTCTGGGTGGATGGGTGGGTGGGTGTGGGTGTGTGCGTGTGTGTGTGTGTGAGAGAGAGAGAGAGAGAAGGGGGGGGGAAGAGAGCTAGCTAAGGTAGAAAATGATGGGCATAATAGTTCTAACATCTTTCATCCCCAACTCGGACACTTTACTTGTGTTGGTGCAGGAATGGCGACAAATATGCAGGTGAATATTTTGCAGACAAGATGCATGGGTTTGGAGTGTATCGGTTTGCAAATGGCCACCGCTATGAGGGGGCTTGGCATGAGGGAAGAAAACAGGGGTTGGGGATGTACACCTTTCGAAATGGAGAAACACAGTCAGGGCACTGGCAGAATGGCAGCCTTGATACTCTCAGCACCCAAAACACACTTCCTGGATCTCCAATTGCTATTAACCATTCCAAAGTCCTTAATGCTGTCCAGGTATAAAAATGCACTTGTTTAAGATTTAATGCATTGGAAAGATACTACAAACCCAAATTTTAAAGTAGATATTCTTTTTCTTGGTTCTTTTTTTTCTGAAAATTGGGTTTAACTGACGAATAAAATAATTTTGTTTTGGCAATTATTTCTGTTCTCCTAATAAAAAACAAAACCCAAGTTTTGATTTGGACCACCCCTAAAGATTTTCTCTTTGATAAGAATTCCCTGAGGAATGCTAGAATTTCTCATGAAAATCCCAAAATATCCAAAATCTCCCTTGAAATTCCCTCAAGACCCAAAACACTTCCTGGATCCCAGTTCCTGTTGGCCATTCCAAAGTCCCCGATGCTGTAGATGTACAAATGCAACTCTTGAAGGATTCACAGTCCCAAGGGAAGACACAACAAACCCAGCCTTTTCTTTTCCCTTTTTTTCTTTACTGCTAACTTGGGACTTGGTGAGAATGTAACTCTAGACAAAACATTGTGGCACCTGCCTCCCTGACTACCTTTTGCCTAGCCCATCCCTATCCACTCTTGAAAAATTGATGTTCTTGCAGTGTTTTTTCCTTTTCTATCCAACAAAAGTAAACATGTTTCTGTTTTGGCAATTGTGTCTACTGAATAAAACTTTAAACCCATGTTTTGATATGTTCATACTTTGCTTTTTTCCTAAAAAAAAATTCCTTCAAATTAAGAATTCCCTTCAATTATCCTCAGGATCTCTTGCGATAACTAAAAAACCGCCCAGGAATACCCAAGAACAAGATTCACCTGATCTCATCCCAAAAGGAAGAAAAACAATATTTGTTACCATCGGAAACTAAAAAAGAAAAAGAAAACTATGAGATTTGTCACCAATGATTTATGCTTTAAAAATTTTGATAGTTGCATATTTGTTATGTTTAATCTTGTTCAGGAAGCAAGGTGGGCTGCAGAGAGGGCATTGGAGGTGCCGCCCGTCGATGAGAGAGTGAACAAAGCAGTTGCTGCTGCTAATAGAGCAGCAAATGCAGCAAGGGTGGCTGCGGTGAAAGCTGTTCAAAAGAGAACCAATAATAATGATAAGAGTGGTATTTCTCATGGCAATAGTCAGGCACAAGCCATGGTTTGATTATATGATATATTCTGAACCATTTGTTTTGAGAGGGACACACGCGGCTGAGGTTTATGTATGCTGTTTGTCGCAAGGCATGGGTACGCCGGCCGCTTCTGCAGCTCAAGAGGATTTGTGAGAGGGGGAGAGGAGGGGGGGGAGGTGGGGGAGAGAATATGGAAGTGGGTCTCTGTTTTCTGTGAATCGTGTATATAGAGGGAACAATGTCTGAGTCTTTCGTGTTCTTTTGGTTTTCTTTCTTCTTTGTAAATTCGGTTTTCAACAAGCAGAGCTAGCTAAAAGGTAAAGACCTCAGTTTGGCTGCTGCGCTGTATCGGACCTTTATTTTACGAGGGTCGAGTGAGTGCTGTTGGATTAACCCACAGCTTTCTCCATGCATCACTTGCAGATCTAATGGTCATACTCCTTCACCATTGTGGATCTCTGATCGCCTCTCTCTCTCTCTCTCTCTTTTTCTAGATGTGATTTCTTTGGTGTTCCTTTTGCAAACTTGGCTACAGATCTCTGTAAGGATTTGATGGTTTGGGAAAAGGCAAGCTTCCCCTACAAGTAAAACTTAACATAAAACTTATATATTTCCTTTGTCACGTTTCTACACTATTTATTTTTAGTTTTTTTCTATAAACTATTTTGACACCAATTTTTGGACATCCAATCCTTTATTTAACTCGCACTAGCGAAAAATATAAAAAAAAAAATTTTCAACAAAATAAGATGATCAAAATACTCTTGAAAGTTTTAAGGGGTATTTTGGTCATATATTTTATCAAAAACTTATTTTTAATATTTTTTGTAGGTGCGCTCCAATGAGAAGAAGACGGGTATCGAATTTCATATTCATACAACTTGTATAAAAAAAATTAAAAATAAAATACTTTGAGACGTCATATCTATGATCAAATGGTGAGTGGTTCTCTTGATCAAAATTAACATAAATTTTATATGCTGTAGAAACCTTTCTCTTATCTAAATTATCTAGTTGTAAAATTTTAAGGTGTTCACATAACTCGATTTGTATTATTTTTTAAAGGTGCGGTTTTTATAAGGTTCAACCTTTAACAATCAAATTAAGGCGTACTTCCAAATTTTATCATAACTTATAATTTTGGTGCAAAAAATTTTTAGGATTATCTGAAAATCTATTTTCATATCTAATTATAAAATTTTAAACTTCAAAAATGGTTAAAATCAAGTAAATCTATGAACATATGAAAATCTTAAAAATAGACAATTTAGATAATGTGTTGCAATTTTTTTTTAATAGACAATCTTTGTTTTTTTTTTGTTTTTTGTTTTTTTTATGGTGTTAAGATGATCAATTAGAGGGTTTTTCAAACAACATTTTTCGATAAAATTCTGAGGTGCATCTCTAATTTTGCATGTTAAGGTTGCAACCTTATATAAACTTTTTCCTTTTTAAAATTTTAAATTTCTTAATTAAAAGTGAATAGATTTGCATACTAGCCTACAAATTTTCAAAACCAAAATTATTTCCAATGAAGTTGTAAGGTGTGCCTTACTGTATTATTTATGTTGACACTTTATATGCAAACCGCACCCATAGAAAAAGAAAAACAAGCATAAACCAATGCTCGTATATGATGTGATGCTAACCCCTGAATCAACAAGCAGAACTGCATATCGTCTCCACCACCCAATTTGAGAACCAACAATATTACTCCCCGGATGAGGTTTCTATAGGGCCCAAGGCTTTTTGAAAAGAAAATAAAGCCTCACCTCAAAATTGAAAATCTTTACAATGGCTTTAAAATTAATTTTCAACACTAAGAATAAAATTTGAAATTAAAAAAAAGGTATAAATCTTGCGGATCAGTGACCTCTTAGTTTTAGAGCAAAATGAATGGTCTTAGATAATTTATTGCAAGATACACTATTTTTAGAATTTAAAATCCTAAATTTTTTACACAACCATAATGTTCAAGTTGAGATGGTCGATTTAAAGGTTTTTCAACACTTAAATTGCAATTTTTTGTGAGTTATAAAGTGAGGCTTTACTTATTTTGATAGAGCTGCAACCCTATGAAACCATTTCCCTTATTATCCAGCAGATAACACATGCATCTCTTTTACCTTCTTTCCTCTAAAACTAGTCTTACAATGATGCACATTATGTCTGTACCCTGCTTTTTTCCAAGGGCAAGCTTTGTATATTTCCCTTACAACATAAAACTTTTATACTTCCCCTTATCCAACCATCCATTCTAAATGGAGGGCTAATGCCCCAATCACAATATCACGTCTCTACACTTCTTTATTTTTAATGTTTTTTATATAAATTATTTTGACACCAAATTTTGTACGTTCAATCCGCTATTAAATTCGCACTAGTGAAAAATATAAAAAAAAAAATTTAATAAAATAAAATAGCCAAAATACCATTGAAAGTTTCAGTGGGTATTTTAGTTATTATATTTTATCAAAAAATTATTTTAAATATTATTTATAGGTGCGCCCCAATGAGAAGATGGCACGTCCCAAATTTCATATCCATACAATTTGTATAAAAAAAACTAAAACTAAAATACTTTGAGATGTCGGATCTAAGATCAAACGGGGAGTGGCTCTCTTGATCAAAACAGGATGGTTGGATGGTATGGGAAGCATAGATATTCTATGCTACAAAGGAAGTATAGAAACCTGTCCCATTTTTATGAGCACGTATACTATACTCCCTCAGGAGCACAGTTCACTTCTATTCTCAGTTAAAAGATCTACTTGGAAGGATTTTTCTCACTATGAAATTTGGATAACCACTTAAGAATTATTAGTTGCTAGATGATTATTCTCATAAAAACAAAATAATTGAAAATTGAGTTTTCATACACTTTGATTTCACCATCTAAAAATTGGATGGTCTCTATTTAATCTCGAGACATTATTTTTTGGGCGTGGTTTCCATAAGGTTGAAACCTTAAACAATCTAATTAAGGAGCACCTTCATATTTGATCATAACATATAATTTTGACATAAAATATTCTTAGGATTATCTCACAATCTATTTTCATTTCTAATTATAAAATTTCAAACTTCAAAAATGGTTACCATCAAGTAGATTTATAAACATATGATAATTTTGAAATTGGATGGTCTAGATAATGTATTGTAAGATGCACTATTTATGGGACTCAAAATCATTCTTTCTTCATAATCATACATTTCGATGTCAAGATGCTCAATTAGAGGTTTTTCAATATTAAAACAACATTTTCCGATATATTTTTTAGGTGCATGTGTTGTTTTACATTTTAAGGTTGCAACCTTATATACACTTTTTCCTTATTTTTTTCAAATAATATAAATATAAAGGGTAAATTAGAAAAGGGTAAGATTTGTATACGGTGTCAAGTTGCTATTGAAATAAGATGCACCTCAAATCTATTGTTGTCCTCAATTATGAAATTTAAAGTTTAAAAAATAATGATGATCAAACAGATTTATAAACGCTTAAAAATCTTGAAACGGATGGTTCATATAATGTGTTAGGAGATGAACTGGACTAAAAATCCTTTTTTTTTTCATGTCTATGAATCTCGAGGGATTTGAAGGTTTGCAAGCAGCATACGAACAATCTTCTCTAGTGGTTTTTAGGTGCATCTTACTTGTACTATATACCGTTGACACCTTATATAAATTTTTTCTATTAAAAAATTATTTGTATTGCTCTAATCTATGGGTTGAAGTGGTCACATCCCAAAAACTCAGGATCCTAAAATTAATTTTAGATGGCGTTTTACTCGATGGAGCAAATATAAATTCTACTCCCATTGAAGTAGAATGTCTTTTGGTTATTTTTATAATATGAGGTTGACACTTTATATAATTTTCCATTTTCTTCTTCTTTATAATTTGGCCCATGACACAAGTGACACCCCGTAAAAGACACGCGTTTCGGGCTTTGCGTCTCGTTTGGTAAAATTATCAAAATAACTTTTGAGGAAAACAGTTGTGGGCGTTATCAGTCCACCCACCCCATTTTGGGGGGACCTACGGCCATTTGTTTCTCTTCAAATTTGGCACAAAAACTACTTTGGACCTGGCGCAAAAGCCCATGAAAAAAAATCAGAAAAAAACCTCCAAAAATAGTATTTTTAAAATTGAGCGAGGGTATATCATTAATTTTATTTCGCTAGATCAGAGCCTTCAATCATATTCTTTTAGCTTTTTAAAAAAATGTTCATACCCCATTGATGAAAAGATATGCAACATCTGAGGTCAAGCAGACCCTGATCTAATTCCTAAATTGCACCAGACTACCTGTTAATGACCTGAAATACCTTTGTTAAAATATACATGGAGGCTAAGTCCCTAAGGCCCCATATATTTACAAAAGTATAAATATCATCATCACGTTCTTGGTGTAGTCACGAGAACTCGAAGCCAAATCTGGCAATAACAAAAAATGAAGCCCACAAATTAAAGAAGCTGGTGATTTAGTCTTCTTCAAAATATTTTTCCTCTGCATCATGGCTAACTTCTCGCATCCAATGATCATCTAGGGTTTCATTGTCATCTATTTTGGAATAATCCAAGTGTTGGGAATCTTCCCCTGCAAGAAATTTATGCTGCATCATGCGTGTGAATTGTTCCAACTGTTCTTTCATATCCACTTCCTCACTCTCTATATTGCTTCTTTCGACATTGGAATGTGCCTGCAAATTGAAAAGGTTGATAATCTGATTAGCTCTTAAACCTCTCGGCAGATACTGCAGAAATTAGAGATCAAGAAAACTGCAATCACCACCTATGCGAAAGCAATCAATTAACGATATTAGGGCTAATCTAGCTTTTTTTTTCCTTTTCTTTTTTTCTTTTGAAAGTTAGCTATCAGACCAAGAACTTAACCCTTCCAAGGCCTCCATCTAAAATTTCTAGGGACTTTATGGCTTTGAATTGTGGTATCCTTGAAACAAGGTTATTGGACTTCCCTTCCCACCCTCCCTTGGAGGTCACATTCTGTGAAATCAACAAAAGGATCCACTAATGTTTTTTGAAGATTCCCCACATTCTCTTACGTAAATACTAACTATCCTATATTAGACACAGTGGCCAACTACAGTTTGAGACCAAGCTTTAGAACCTTGCGTCATGCCTAAACCCTAGAAACACAAAATATGAACCCTAAACCCTTTAAGAGTTAAGCCTTCTGGTTTAGCAGTTAGGGTGTGAAGACCCTTATAAGTTCAAATTCGAACCCCCCTCAGAGCACCCCAACCCAAAAAAAAAGAAAAAAAATAAAAGAAAAAAGAAACCCAAGTCCTAAAGCATTAATCCCAAACATTAAACCCAACCTCTGCATCTCTCATTTTCTCCACTTCTTCCTCTTCCTCCTCCTCGTCCTCCTCCTCCTCTTCCTCTTCCTCTTCCTCTTCCTCCTCTTCCTCTTCCTCTTCCTCTTCCTCTTCCTCAGGCCCTTCACCAACCCAAGACGTATCAACAATTCCCCTTTTTTGCTGCTCCCCCCTGATTTGTGCAATTATTATGGCTTCCTCAGATCGACGCATCAAAGTCTCAGACCAACGTTCCCCAGGGCGAGCAAGGCCCCTACCTGAGGGCTCCTGAAACTTGCCCAAGTATTCATGGTGCAGAAATGGCTCTCTTTCCCTCATTGCATCCTCAGAGAAGTACAGACCATCTTGTATAAGTTTTTCCATGTAAGCATGGCGCCGGTTTTTTACAGTGACTGCTCTTAAGTGTTTCTCCTCTTCTGTGGGATTAAGCAAGCTCCTAAGGTGTTTCAGATGCCAGTTGATTTCATAATCATCATTTAGAGTTTCAAATTCTCGGAGCTCGTCGCCAGTCAGTTGGGAACCATATCTTTCTGCATTAACACAATGCAAACAAATCAAAAGACCAAAATATACATAATTTTTTTGCGCATGAGATTGAATGGTAGCTCAGATAAGGTGCATGATACACTCTCAAGCATAATCTATTAGAATTTACTGTATTCACAACAACTATTGGGTAGCTCACACAGACTATATTGAAAGCTTCTTTATGGTGCAGTCAGTGAGGTGTATAACGAAGTTAGAGGCAGCAACATTTCTGTATAGTCCATGGTTCCAAATATTTCATTTGCTCAAACATGAAGCAATTTCCTACACAGCCAAACTAGAAATTTACTCCCTTTTGCTTTCAAGAGCATCTTTCCTTAGGTAATAGAGACAAAAAATGGTGATAAATTCAAGCAAGTCATTATTCATTAAAATATACATTCCAGCAAACCTTCAAGTGATCAAACTCTCTTCAGAATTTTTTTTTTATTGGTCATCAAGAAGTCAAGAAGCAGAACTCATAACTCCACAAGACTATAGTCATGGGATTTTCCCCCAATTACTTAGCCTTACCTCGTTTGAGGGCAGACCTAGAGCAGTGGATAAATTTTTAAAACCCAGAGGTGACTTAGGACTCGAGGCTTGAGCAGAAGAGATTCAGAGAACTCACCCCAGCAAATATTGTCAATTTTCTCAAAACGATATTTGAAAAACACAAGATGGAATTAAATATCAAAAACTGAAATAAAACTTAATGTAGGGTTCAATTTCCAGCCACCATAAAACCTTCAAAACAACCACCATGGCAATGCCAAGTCTTAAGAGACTCAGCAGGTCAAGTAGGGACTCATCTAATCTGTATCTAAAGTAATATGGTTCAAGAATAGCCCAAGTTATCAAAGAGTGTATACAGGAACCACTGGTGTAAAGCTCAATAGAAATGAGAAAGATGGAACGAAAGGGTCCATTATGGAGATCATATTACTCTCCTACTGTCCTGTTGGACATTCTTCGAATATAGTGGAGCATTCTGGTCACAAAGAAACATTGAAAAATTGCAATTTGACTTCCTCCAGAGTCAGGGTAAGAGACGACGAAAGTCCTTTGGTCAACTAAGATAAGGTTTGGAGAAAAAGTAAAAGGATGACTATGCAAATGTTAATAGCACTTTGTTTATGGAAGATCATCTATTAGCTAGTAATGACCAGGGCCTGCGAAAGGATATTACTATGAATAAATGTATTGTGCGAGAAAATGAATTTGGGAGGGTACGGAAGAAAACAATGGAACTTAGCAGTTGTATGCTGGCTTTGTGATAGGTGGTCATAGGCAATGTAAGAAATTGCTTAGCCCTAGTTTTGACAGTTCCATAACTTTATCATTGACTGGGACCTTTGTGATCTTATCAAAACTCATATGGGTTTCAGAACCAGATAGAGGAAATGGATTAAAGCCCGCATTTCTAACCCCACTTTTTCCATTCTCCTCAATGGCATCCCAGTCGGTTTCTTCCCTGCTTCTAGAGGCCTGAGACAGGGCGACCCTCTATTGCCCTTCCTATTCACTCTTATTGGTGAAGTCTTCTCCAGAGCCCTCACCAGACTATTCAATAGAGAGATTCTCCCGGGCTCTTCCTTAGGAGCTTTGAACTCCTAACTGGTAAGAAAGTAAATTTGTCTAAGACCAAAACGTTGGGCACTCTAGTGGATAATGGACAATTAGAGCTACTTGCCCAACATTTGGGACGTGCAATGGAAAGCCTCCCCTCTTCCTATCTTGGTCTTCCCCTTTATGTAGGCAAACCCAGAAAGCACCTCTGGGACAAACTAGTTGAGAAGTTCGACTGGAAGTTTGATGGCTGGAAAGGCATGTATCTTTCTCTTGGAGTAATAATCACCCTTATCAAATCCACACTAACAAACACCCCAATCTACCACGTCCCTCTTCCAAATCCCTGTCTCTATCCTTCAGTGTCTAGAGAAACTTATGAGAGGCTTTTTGTGGTCACGATCTGCTGAAAACCATAAATTTCATCTGGTAGCCTGGGACAAAGTGTGTACCCGAGGACTGGGTATCAAAAAGCTTAGAACTATGAATCTTGCCTTGCTAGGTAAATGGTGGTGGAAATTTACCTCCCCCACCCCCACCTGTGGAAACAGGTCATCTAAGCCAAGTATGGACTTGGAGAAGACGGGTAAATGCCTAGATCCCCCTTCCATAGATCCTCTGGAGCCTGGAAGTGCATCACTTCTGCCAAAAATTCTTTCCTCAACTACATTAGATTTCGATTAAAGAATGGTCAAAGAATCAAATTTTGGATAGATATTGGATAGGAGACCAACCCGTTAGGCATATCTTCCCTTCTCTATTCCTCTTGGCCCAAAACCAGCAGCAATGGTTGCCGAGTATGTTGAGGTTAGAGGGTCGGACTTGGTTTGGAGACCCATTTTTAGGAGAAACCTCACAGACCAGAAGTGCCTTTCCCTAAATTCCCTTCTCCTAATGCTAGCTCCTCTTTTCAGCCCTCTCCTACGTCAAGACTCTATCATCTGCTCACCAATCCCCATTGGGATTTTCTCAGTCTCCTCTTTGTACTTCTCTTTACTCCCTAGCACCTCTGCTCAACAATTCTTCGTCGCTGCCAGTGCTCCATAAAATTCAAGCCTTCATATGGGTACTTCTGCAAGGTAAAACCCTTGCTTTACTTCAGCGTAGGGGGCTTTCCCTTGCATCATATGTCTCCAAGAAGAGGAGACCATCCCCCACCTTTTTATCCACTGTGAGGTCTCTTGTAGCCCCTGGTCATCTTTCCTTAAAACTCTTTCACCTCCTTTGGGTCACTCTCCCTTCACTTGACAACCTCTTCAACGACTTCTTATCCCCTCCTTTTGCTAAAAATGGAAGAAAACTTTGGCAACTGTCCATCGTTGCCCTCCTTTGGAGCACTTGGCTGGATAGGAACTCCAGAACCTTTAGGAACATTTTAACGGGTCAAGGATCCATCTTTGACTCTTGCGTCGCCCTAATCTCCCCCTGGGCAAAGCTCATCCTAGTTTTTGCTTCGCTTCCCATCTCCTGTTTCCTAGCCAATTGGGAAGCCCTTTTGGACCTCTCTGCCCACCTACCAGCGTTAGAGCCCAGTGGAGTCCCCCTCCGGCCGGCTTTCTCAAACTTAACACGGACGACTCATCCTTAGGTAACCCAGGTCCCTCTGGCATATGTGGTACTCTGGAAAACTTCAATGAAATTTTCCTCTCCTTTTCTGAACACATTGGGATCTCGAACTCCACCTCTGCGGAAGCCACAGCTCTTTTAGAAAGTATTAAGTGAGTGCCTCAAACTAGGTCCAAATACCAAGGGCTTATAGTCGAATTTGACTCCAGCAACACTATCCTTTGGGCATCGCACCAGCACCACCTGCCATCACGCTTATTCTCTATTTTTTAGCATATCAATTTCCTTTGGAGCTCCATCCCAAAGATCATGTTCAAGCATATCCATCAAGAGACCAACACTGAAGCAGACAGGCTGGCTAAGGAAGGAGCACACCAAGCCACATCTCCACCCCACAGGTACAATGAGAGGCTTACACTTACGCTCACCGGTTGGCTAAGGGAGAGAGCCAAGACACAGGTGCAACCACCAGTCCCTTGAAACCACATACCCTTCAATCCCTTCCCTCTTCTCCTCCTCTCTCCTCCTCCCCCTTGAAAAAAAGAAAAGGAAAAAGAACGAAGAAAAGAAAAAGGGAAAAAATAGACGGTAAAAAGTAATAATAATAATAATAATACAGCCTGCCTCTCTCTCTCTCTCTCTCTCTCTCTCTCTCTCTCTCTC